TTTATTTTATTTTTTTTCCAGTACCAGGAATTGAACTCATGACCTTGCGCTTGCTAGGCAGGGGCTGTGCCACTGAGCTAAATCCCCAGCCCCCTAAAATTCTTTTAAAGGCTTGTTTAATCTATAAAATTGATTTGACACTTCACTCATGGATTAAGACCCATCTGAAAAACACTGGTATTGGTCAGCTTTCCTACGCTGGGACAAAATGCCCAATATCTATAATTTAAAGGAGACGTTTAATTTGGCTCAAGGTTTAGGGGGATTCAGTCCATGAGTGGTGCCTGCAATGCAGAAGCGTCATGATGGAAGGGCATAGTGGAGCAAAGCTGCTTACTTCATGGTAGCTGGGAGGCAGAAGGGGAAAAGCACCAGAGACAAAGAGATCATGGAGCAGGCATGATCCCCAAGGTCATCTTTCCATGACCCATGCAGACACACCTAGAAGTGTGCCTTACTAAAACCCTAGGTATCTCTCAAGCCAAGCAAGTTGACAATTAAGATTAACCATCACAACGCTTAATTAGGTGATTATTACATTAGTGAATGTAAAAAATCATGGTAGCTGTAACAGTAGCAGCAAAAATGAGAGAAATAGATGTAATAATTAGACTCAGTATATCCTTAAGATTGTTTGAAAGGAACAGAGTGAGAATTTGGATAACTTTCAGTCTGGGTAACCTGTTACCATTCATCAGGTAAGGAGCACTGGAGGGAGAGCAACTTTGATGGAGAATAGATTCTACTTTGAGCATGCTGACCATGTTGCTTTAGTTACTTTTCTCATCACTGAGACAAAATACCCGACACCCAAAGTTAAGGGAGGAAAGGTTTATTTAATTCACGGTTTGTAGAGATTTCAGTCTATGATCAGCTGGCTCCAAGCAGGGTGGTACATAGTGGAGGGGCAACAGTTCATGGAGGCAGAAGACAACAAAAGCAACAAGGGGAAGGAAGAGAGAGGACAAGCCTCATTCTGTTCATTATATTGCATGCAGGATACCTACCCTAGGGCAGGTGTAGCACTCATATCCTTAATCCCAGCACCCTTAATCCCAGAATTGTACTATGAATCAATCTTACACTCTAGATTCAGACACCTCTGAAAAAGCCCTATGACTGGATGAGGCTTTGAAGAGACATCTAGATACAATCCATAACATTCTAACCTTGGTCCTCCACATAATCAAGCATATCCCTTCATCCAAAAGCACTTAGTCCATCTCTAAGAGTTATAAAAGTCTTAACAGTTTCAGCATTGTTGAAAAGTCCAAGTCCAATGTCTCCTCTGAGATTTAAGAAAAATTCTTAGCTTTAAGCCCCTGTAAAAATGAAAAGAAAGTTAAACACTTCCAACATTCAATGGCACAAGATGGACATTTTCCTTCCAAAAGTTACAAACAGGGACATACAAAGGAATGGGATGAAAGCAGGTCCAAAATCTAGCAGGGCAAACACTAAATCCTGTAGTTCCATGTGCAGCATCTGAGACAATCTGCGGCAAGATGTGAACTCCACTTCTGGTGGTTGTGGTTCCCATGGCTTCTCTCTTGGGCCCACTTTGCTCCTTCCTTGGAGCTTTCCTCAGACAATCCACATTCCTAGCTTCTCCAAACTTCTGGGGTCCCCACTGCACCTTTGTTTTCACACTCACAGTTTCCCACACTACCCTTTCAGGGGCACACTGCCTGATCTCCCAGGCCTTCTTCTAAAATCTGGATGGAAGCCTTCCTGACCCCACCACTATTGAATTCTGCCTCACCTAAAACCAGTGCCATGTGGATGATGCTAAGTTCTGTCACCAGCTGGAGGAGTAGCCAGGCTTCCTTCTCTCTTGACTGTAGGGTTTCAGTGCTTATGAACCAAATCCTAAAGAATGACTTCCCTAGGCTGCTGCCACTCTGGAACATGGTATGTTAGGGCTCTTTTCTCAAAGAAAATCTTTCACTTTTGCAATCTTGAGGCTGCAAAGCTATCTTTTCTCAAACCATCTTTTCTAGTCTTCTGTTCATCCTCAGCAATCAAAATCTCCTCTGTTCTGTCTTTGCAGCCCACAGTTTTATTGGAGCTTACTTTCTGGCCAGCCTCACAACACTGTAAGTCATTCTGCTGGTGCTCTTGATTCTCAACATAGATCTGGCTAAAGCCCCCAACAGTTGCCATGCTACCACCTCAATATTAGGCTGTTTTGAAATTTCTTCTGCCAGATTAATTAGTCCATGACCCTTAACCTCAGTCTCAGACAAAGTCTTTGGACATGAGCAAAATGCAGACAAAGTTTCAGCCAAGGAATAATGCACATTGTCCGAAATCTAACAACCAATGCAGTCCTTCTTCTGAGCAGAAACCTCCTGAGCCTGGTATTTACTGGCAGAATTTCTATCAGCCTTCTGGTCTTCTTGGCTCTGACCAGGATCTCCCATCAAGTACCACCTAACGTGTTCCAGCTCTACTTTTTCAGCGAGCATCTCTGAACCTTTTCAAACTCTTCCCACAAGCCATTCCCAAAGGCCCGTGATATATGGTCAGGTATAGTCACAGCAATGACCCCACTCTTAGTACCGAATTCTGTCTTAGTTACTTTTCTCATTGCTGAGACAATAATTCTCAGTGCCCAAAGTTAAGGGAGGAAAGGTTTTTTTTTTTTAACTCAGAGTTTGCAGAGATTTCAATCCCTGATGGGCTTGCTCCAAGGCAGGGTGGCACATGGCAGAGGGCAACAGTTCATGGAGGTGGAAGACAGCAAAAGCAACAGGGGCAAGGAAGGGATGGAACAAGCCTCTTTCTGTCCCTTGTACATAAACTACCCACCCTAGGGTAAGTGGAGCACTCACATCCTTAATCCCAGCACCCTTAATCCCAGCATTGCACTATGAATCAATCACACACTCTAGATCCAGTCACCTCTGCAAAAAATCCTATGACTACGTGAGGTTTTGGGGAGGCATCTAGACACAAACCATAAAGCACGTGATGCTCAGATACATCAGACAGAGGATTCTAGTGGACAGTTAGAAGTGTGAGTTGGGAGTAAGGCACAGTGGTGCATGTCTGTAATCCCAGCACTTTGGGAGGCTGAGGCAGGGGGAATTGCAAATTCAAGTCCAGCCTGGGCAATTTAGTAAAATCTTACCTCAATGTTTTAGAAAATAATTGAATTGGAAATGAGGACAAAAGTCTGAGGTACAGATTCCTCAACAGGTAGATGGCAGTTGAAGTCATGACCATGGATTCTACCTAGGGGAGTGTGGGGAAAGTGAATTACGACCAAACCCTGAGGGCCAAGGTTATCGCTCAGAGGCACAGCACCTGCCTGGCAAGTGTGAGGTCATGAATTCAATTTCCAGTACAAAAAAAAAAAAAAAGGTAAAAAGAGCAAACCCTGAGGATTAGCTGCAGGTGAGACAGAAATGGAAGAGGGAGAGAAGAGAAAGTCTCCGGAAAGGTGCAAGTTCTACTAGTCCTCATGATATCCTGCATTGCCAATAGTACTGAGCACAGTACTACTGTGGATGGAAGGAACTGGAGACAGTGAGGGATGTGAGAAATTTAGTACGAGTAGAAGATGGAGTTCCAAATCATCCTCCAGCTCTGCTCAGAGTTTTCTTCCCCTGTGAAGCTGTAATGCTGAGCTAAATGATTTCTGTGATGTTTAATTTGTAGCAGAGCATAGATGGGTGGAGAATATGGGAAGATTAAAAAAAAACTAGCCCATGAATTCACTTGCACAAATTTTCTTTGAGTTTTTACAGTGTTCAGTTACTGTTTTAGTTACAAGGACATAATGATGAACCAGACTGACTATGGAAATGGTCATTATAGAGAGAGAATCAGACAATAAGCAAATATACAATTTCACTTATAGTATTTGTAGTTACTGATAAGAACTATAAAGAAAAATAAAGTGGGCAAATAGGGTAACTTGGGCAGCCTCCTTTTAGTATCTGTGTGAAGCTGGATGAAGTGAGAGTGTTCTAATATGAAGAGTCTGATGAAGGACATTCCTGGGAGGAAGGATTGCCAGGTCTGCCCAGGAATTACTTGGTGTATCTCAGAAACAGCAGGAAGAGCAAAACCAAGCACAACCAGGGCAAATGAGTAATATGGTGCATTACTGGTGGGAACCAGACTTGCATGGGTCTTGTTGGCTATGGAAAGAACTTCGTGCTTCTTTTGCAAAGGAAGCTGTTGAAAGACTGAACAGAGAATAGCTTGATCTAATTTTTTATTTTTAAAAGTTCATCTCAGCAGCTGTCTAGACCATAGAAAGCAAAAGTAGTAAAAACAGAGAAGATGATAGAGGTTGATAGTTTCAGTAATCCAGCAGAAGATGATGGCTGGAGTAAGACTGGCAAGGTATCGGTCATCTCCCCATTGCTACAGTAAAATACTTGAGGTAGTTAAGCTATAAGGAGAAAAGGTGTGTTTGGACTCACAGTTCTGGGATTTCTACTCCAAGATCTGGTAAGGTTGGAACAGCATGCAGGGAGCACATAGCAGAGCACCTCACTCACCTATGAGCCAGGAAAGAACAAAAAACAGAAAGAGGAATAAACTGGGGTCCACAGCCCTCTCCCAGGACACTCTGCAATGACTCAAGGACTTCCCTCCCACGGGGCCCCACCTCTTAAGAATTCTATCACCTCGCTGCTGTGGTGGAGCACTCTGGTAATCTCAGCACTCTGGGAGGCTAAGGCAGGGAGATGGCAAGTTTGAGCTGCACCTGGGCAGTTTGGCAGCTTAGTGAGACCCTATCTCAAAATAAAAAAAAAAAAGGAGATGGGATGTAGCTCCATGTGAAGCTCAGGGTTCAATCCCCAGTAATGGAAAAGAAAGTTTTAACACCTCGCTGTCATATTACCTTGAAGAGTACACCTTTGACACATGAGCCTTGGGTGACACTTATTTGAACCATAGCGAGAGAGGTAGACTAACTTTAACTGAACAGTTTGCTGTGGCCAGATTTAATTCTAAGTAAGTTATTTTCACTTTAAGTTTTTGTTTTTTAAGACATAGTGTTGCTACGTAGTTCGAGCTAGCATTGAATTCACTATATAGTACAGGCTGGCCTCAAACTTATGGGGATGCTCCTGCCTCAGCCTTCCAAGTGCTGGGGTTACAGGCATGCAATGCCATGTCTAGCTGTTGTCTTCATTTTACATATAAGGAAACTGAGGTAGAAAGGTGAAGTAACTTGGCTGGGATTACATAGCTAGGAGTGATAGAGGTAGAATTCAAACCCAAGCAATCTGCCCCAAGAGCTTGCCTGCTTAATATTTATGCTAGACAAAATCAGGATACATCTTGAAGCTAAAGCTGACAGATCTTGATGGATTCAATGTTGCGTTTGAAGGAAAGAACAAGAATCCAGGAAGACTCCTAAGACTTTGGGATTGACAACTGTGTGACATTTAGTAGAATAAAGAGGAGTAGACGAAAAAGCAGGGATCAAAGATTCTGATTAGCTGGTTGTGGCGGTGCATAACTGTAATTCCCCCTGCCCCCCCCCAAAAAAAAAGAGCACATGAAGTTAAAAATGCTACATAAGGAGAAAAGAAGGAAGGGGAAAGCAAATATATATATATAGTAAGGATAGTTACACTACTAACTTCTCTTAGTTCATTGAAAAGAAAGGTTTGTGCTAACATTGTTTGGACAATGAAATGCCTATGTCTTGTACTCTGAGTAACTAATTTAAAGATAACAATATGTAATGTATTAGCTATTGTTATTCTCCTATTGTTTTGAAATTTTGGGATATTTTTTCTTTAAAATAAAATTTTTAAAAAATGTCACATAAAAAAAAATGTCACATAGACAGCTAGGTAGAGACTTTAGTAAACACACTCAGCACGTTGGTAGCTGACAACTACAGCTACATTTGAAGTTAAGTTGGAGAAAACTTAGCACTATGTTAGAGAAGTATTCCACATCAACATCTCCCAGCCTTTTCACATATTCTCCATTAAATGTGGTCCCAATTTTGGAATTAGTGGAATGATCTGCTAATAAACAACAAAAATATCCAAGTTAGCCAAATCTCACTTTCACCAGCAGTCAGCCCGAGAGCAAATGCTTTTAAGAAGCTCCTAGAGGTCTCATCACCTCAGACCTGAGGCAGGAACACCACACACCTCCAGCCTTAACTTCCCAGAATTCAAAGAGGGTGAATTTTCCCCGCTACAGAATTAAAGCTATCTTTGATGGCAACCCTCTTGCTGGTTGGTCAATGAACTTTGCTTACACGGTACACCGACTTGCACAACCCTCAATCTGTTCAGACTTACAAAATACTGTCCCTTTGTCCCCACTGACCCTGACTTCAGTATTTGACTTTTTACTTCATCTGACCTCAGATAATTCAGCCTTTTTAGACAGGCCTCAAACTTTTTTTTTTTGTTATTGTTTTTCTTCCGGTACCGGGAATTGAACTCACGATGTTGCGCTTGCCCGGCAGGCGCTGTGCCGCTGTGCTAAATCCCCAGCCTCTCAGGCCTCAAACTTAAGATTCACTTTCCTAATTGTGCCTGACCAAACCTGCCCTATGACTACCAGCGCAGAGCCCAGTGCCGGTGAAGCTGTTTGTATGAGAATATTGTGTGGGAAACCCTCCGCCTTGATTAGCGTGGTGTTTACGTAGGTGAACACATTCTCAACACTCACCAAACTACCCACATATTTGCTTCAGCTTAAAAATATCTTAATGTTAGCTGGGTGTGATGGTGCACACCTTTAATTCTGGCTACCCAGGGGGCTGTGGCAGAAGAATCATAAGTTTGAGGTCACCTTGGGCTACATAACAAGACATTAGCTCAAACAAAATCATAATTAAAAATGCTATTTCTCTCAACAGAGAATTAATAAAGTCCCTAAGTCCCCCTCTTCCTTAACTGTGTGCTATAAGGAGTATTGCTGATCGTCCCTTTTTGAAATATGCCCTCCCTGAGGCCCTTTTAAGGCGTGAGCTGGTTCTCCTTTTCTTCCTCTGAGTGATCTGCTCCGTGCCCCGCCATCCCCCCAGCATCCGCAGAGTACCCCATTCCTCAGGACTCATCACTGTCCTCATGAGCCAATGAACAGTCATACCGATACCTACATTTTCAACACTCTCAGGGTGAATCTTCAAATGATCGAGGTTTGCTTTACTCAGGCTCCTGCCTGGAAATTCAACCTCAGAAACGTATGAAAACAAACCACTGTCTTTGCTAAGATAGGTTTTCCTATGACTTCTCTGTTTCCAGAAGACGGCATCATCATTTTCTAAGTATTACTCGTGACATATTCTGCAAACCCTTCTTCTCTACACTTCTTGCCAGTGTTTGATCTCTTTTTATCCAATAAGCATTGCGTCCTATCTCTTACCTATAATTCCCTTCAATACTCTCCTTCCGTTTTCACCCCACCTTTTAGGTCAAATCTTCATCCTCCTTGCGTTGACCATTTGGAATTCCCTAAGGAAGCTCACTTCCCTTCACCTAATGCACTGCTGCCAAAATCTTCCCTTAAGATACTGTCACTACTCTGCTCGAGAGAATTCCCCTCACTTAAAGAAATAAAGCCAAACGAGTCCAGCTTTCAGCATTCTTGTCACTCGGAATCTCATCTACCACTTTAAGTTTACACAACACTATTCTTTTTCCATTATGCTGGGAGCTAACCAAACTTAATGACTTGCTATTTCCTGAGTATTTCTCAAACTTTTCTATCCTCCTGCCCCCTACTTTTTTTTACACTGCTCCCTACGATTAGTTATTCTAATGGAAACTCTATCCCTCCCCCACATCCAGTCAAATTTGAGTCACAGTAGCCAGAAATGAAGAAAAAGGACCTTTGCAAGATTGCAAAAAGGACCTTTGCGTATATCGTTCATACCCTAAAATACCGACTACATTCCCTAAGGCAAGCTAGGTTTTCAGTGTATGGGAAAGTGTTACCTGAATATAGATATATCTTCTTTTATGTCTCTAAGGGATAACATTTTATTTTGTCAAAGTTTTTACTCTGAAAAATTATGTTTAATTCTTCATACAAAAAGAAAGCAAATATTTGATGAAAAGCTAAAGCACTTCACCATCTTCAATCTAATTCTACATAGGGAGGGTCACTGTAGCCTTATTCCATGCATTCCAGACCTGTCTCTGCGTTTGTCTACTCCTATACAAAAAGTAGTTACGTGCAGCAACCGCTTTGTGATAAGAATGCCTGATTCTAAATTTAATAGCAAATTACATACAGATACAAAATGTTAATAATCAGTGTCATTCTTTTAGATCATTTTAAGCATATAGATATTTGATCATGATGGTGCATTTATTGAGCATTTTTCTGACATGCACTCTTCTAAGTGATTTGGATAAGGTATTTAACACTTAAACCATGAAGTAGCTACTATCATAATCCTCTTTTTATTTATTGACTGGTACCGGGAACTGAGCTCAGGACCTTGCGCTTGCCAGGCAGGCGCTCATGCCACTGAGCTATATTCCCAGCCCATTATCCTTTGTTTAGAAGAGACAGATTTTAACTCCATCAAAGCCTGATGCACCTAGGCCACATTTCCAGCTAACAGGCAAAAGACCGGGGATTCTGACCCAGGAGGTCTGACCAGAGCCCGTGCTCTGAAGTGCTTCAGTCTGCGCTTGGTCACTGGGACAGGAAGCTGTGAACTGGGACTATTTCTGTGATCCTTGTTTCTCCTGAGTCATGGTGGTAGTTGCCCTCTCCTTGGGCTCAGACCTCCCGCACTCCTCACACACTTCTGCTTTTTGGTAGCAGCACTGATCTGACTCTTCAGCTGGGTTGGGAAAGGAGTCTGAAATTAAACAAGTACTTGATTATATCCATTTGACCCAGTGGTGTCAAGTCCATGAGCAGGGACCCTGTCACTGTGTGTCTCGTACGTCTCACATAGTAAGCAGGCAGCAAACAAGTGTCCACATGGATTGTGTATCATTGACTAGGGAGTTTCTGAGCTAGTCTGTTCCCCATTCCAATAATCGAGGGCTCAGCTGCAGACCATGGCAGGAAAGAAGGACTGAAGAGAAAAAACTAAGCTAGATCCCTTCCTTATTTTTATCAAATGCATACATATGGTCAAAGGATAAAAGGAAAGTTTTACAACAAAAACTACCAATTTCACAATTACATACTGATGTCTTGTACCCTGAGTAATTAATTCAAAGACAATGATATGCAATGTATTAGCCATTGTTACCCTCTTATCATACTGTTTTGGAAATTTGGCTTTTTTGTTTTGTTTTTTTGTTTCTCTAAAACGAAATTTAAAAAAAAAATACCAATTCCCTTCCTTCTCTTTCTGCAGCTAGTTCTTTCCCCACTTGAAACTTTTTCTATTTTTATTGTTCTGCTAGTTACCTGCATATTTTAAATAATGCATCTATACTGCTGCTATACACCACCATGGTTATCCTTGTAAGAAATATACATACTTAAGCCTTTTTCTTTGAAATATGATGTATGGCAGGCCCGCGGTGGTGAGAGATAGCACTGCTTCTTGTCTAGGGATTAATAGAGCTCCCTGTGGGTATCTTTATCAAGGCAATTACCACATTTATGGAAACTGTTGATTGTCTTATTGGCTCCTTCATGACAGGATGAGCAGCTTGTGGAAAATTATCATGCCTCCCCTTAAATTTGTGGACCCCTCAGAACTACCACAGCAGGCAGACTCATTATAATGTCTCTTTACTGAATGGATCACTGAATGATTCCTGTGATAAAGTTACTGAAATGCTTATGAGTCATGAAAAAGGGAAGATCTTAATGACTGATCATCCAAGAAGCTAGTAAACAGCTGGTTTCAAGCTTGATTGACCAATGCTTCCTGCCAGCCCACTAGGCAAAACTTGATATTACCAAGCCTTGTCTACACAAAGCATGGACAACCTACACTCCTAGTATGAGGAAATGCTCTCAGTTCCTAAGTAACAATATGAGCTGATTAAATGTAAGAGTTATCTCCACTATATTATAAAGTGAGAAGGAACTTCAAAAGGAAAGAGAAACTGGTTTAGGGGGATGGGAAAAAGGAAAGGGAAAAACAAAAAGAAAAAAAAAAATATATACATATATATAAGCTAGTTAAAATAGTTATACTACTAATTTCTCTCAGTTCATTTGAAAGATAGGTTAGTGGTAACATTGTTTGGACAATTAAATGCTGATAGTTCATACTCTGAGTAACCGATTCAAAGATAACAATATGCAATGTATCAACCATTGTTACCCTCTTATCATATTGTTTTGGAATCTTGTTTTTTTATTTTTTTATTTTTTTGGTTCTTTTTCTTTAAAATAAAAATTTTAAGAAAGAGTTATATCTACTGATTCCAGAAACAATCTCGAGTACTATAAAATTATAGGAGGCATATTATATTTCTAATTAACTAAACTAATTGATAGTTTCAAAAAGGAGCTGGAGGGCCAGGGATACAGTTCAATAGCACAGCGCCTGCTGGGCAAGGTCCTGCGTTCAGTTCTCAGAACCAAAAAACAAAAAGGGATTGGAAATATATTCCACTTTTAACAAATATTTTATAGATCTTTTACAAATGGGGAAGAGCTGGGCATGGTTGTGCACAACTGTAATCCCAGCACTCAGGGGGCTGAGCAGGAGAATCACGGCAAGTTTGAAGCCAGCCTGGGCTACATAGTGAATCCGGGCCTATGGAGTGAGTCCAGGCCAGCCTGAACTACAGAGCAAGACCCTGTCTCAAACAAACAAACAAAAAAACAAACAAAGTAGGAAGGGGATCTGGAGATGGAAGGAGAAGGACAGGGAGGGGAAGGGGAAGTAAGAAGAGTTAAGATGTGTTATATACATGTCCCAGTGAACGTAATTATTATGTACTGCAAGTACATACTAATAAAAGTAAAGGAAGTTTTTAAATAATTTACTAAGTTTAGTCAATTTTAATTGTATTATAGTGTTAAGACATAAAAGTTAAATATGCAGCGCCATTGTTGACTATTTTTACAAAATATAAATGCCTTTTCAATATTAACCTTTCTCTTTATTTTTCTACTTCCGTAAATGGCATCTCTATGTTTTTTTTTTTTTTGGTACCAGGAATCAAACTCAAGACTTTGCGCTTGCCAGGCAAGGGCTGTGCCACTGAGCTGTATCCTGGACGTAAGGCATCTCTATTGATTAATCAAAGTCCCCAGTTATTTTAGTACCCTGTGTCGTGTCGCTTGTCCCTTACACGAAGTTGTCCCTGGGTACCCAAGACAATATATGTTGCAAGACCTCCCACAAGAAGTAAAACCCTAGGATACCCGAGGGCTATACATGAAATCTGAGGAGTATTTGTATTCACCCAAGTACTTTCAATAATCTCTAGATTACTTATAGGAACACGAGGCAAATACTGTGTAAATAATTTTACTCTTTTATGTAGGGAATAAAGACCAAAGAAGTCTCTATGTGTCTGGTACAGACGCAGTTTTGGGTGGGAACAGCATGGAGCTGCAGTTGCTTACATCCTTGGCTGCCGGGCCTGCCAATGTGCAGGACGGGCTGTGCTCTGTGACCAGTTCTTGGTTGCTCTATTTTCATAATATCCCTTGCACCTGTTTCCTCCCACTTCCCCACTGTGACTCCCACACGCAGGCAGGTTCTTACCCTCCTTTTTTAAGGCCTTTAAAATAGATCACTGCTGTGCTATGCCACCAAATTGCTCCACAGTGCACCATCAGAATGGTCCTTCAAAAACACAAATCTCACTTTTCTTAACCATACCCAGGATGGTTGAGACCCAAGAGCTCCCTGAGTCTGAAAGTCTTCTGCTTCCTTCCCTCTGCCCTCTGCTTAGGGCGGGCCATCCTAGAAGTTAGCATTCACCCTGATGGACGTGACTATTTGCCCTGGTTTGTCCAGAACAATCTCAATCTCACCTGTTATCTCAGAGTATTTATTTTATTACTGTATTTATTTATTTAACTATGCACAGGGGATTGAATGCAGGGCCTTTATATTGAGCTACACATCCCATTCCTTCTGTATTTTTTTTTTTTTTCACTAAATCACCTAGGTAGGACTCAAACTTGTGATCGTCCTGCCTTAGCCTCCCAAAGCGCTGGGATTATATGTGTGTGCCACTACACTCAGCTCGGTATATTTATTAATAACCACTCTTTTGCCATTCTCAAAAGTTCCCAATGTGTTGGTCTGCTAGGCTTGCCATAAAAAAGTGTTACAGAGTGGGCGGTTTAAACAACAGAAATGACCCAATTTTATCTTGTGTGTGTGTGTGTGTGTGTGTGTGTGTGTTTTACCAGGAGCTAAACCTAGGGTTTTTGCACTGAGCTACATCCTAGCCATTTATTTGTTTATTTAGAGACAGGTTCTTGCTAAGTAGCTAAGTTTCTCAGGCTGAGCTCAAACTCACAATCTTCCTGCCTCAGCTTTATAACTCTGGTTAGGCATCTGCAACCATGCCTGGCCTTAATTACCTGTTTAATGGGTTTATCTACAAGTGCAATCACACTCTGAGGTACTGGGAGTTAGGGGTCAGACACAGGAATGGAAGCTGGGACAAAATTCTGTCCGTAACACTCAGGTTAGACAAAAAATTGTATAAAGTTATCCTCCTTAAAACAAGTCTTCTTCAGATCACTTCTTGGCTCCTGTAGCCAGGTAAAGAAGGGTCAGGAGCGGAGGAATCCTAAAAGTCAGGGACGGCAGTAGTATCTATGTCTGCCAATTTTTAATGTAGCCCAACAGTCAAGAGACACAGAGAACAAAATTGGTAAGAGCCGGGTCCCTGTGAAGTAGGTGTTCAGGATCAGGCTGCAGTCTTCAGTGGTGAATGTCAGGCTAGACAAGGAAAGTGATGCGCTAGCACAGGGGTTCGGGTTCCACAGGAATGCAGAGGCTCCCCAGCGGCCAGGCGTTTGCCTGAGGATACCACATACTCAGCTGTTCCCCACAAAACTCAGTCCCAGCCTCACCCCCATAATGGCGCTCCTACCTGTCCATTAATTGATTCTGGAACAAAAATGACACTCCACTTTGGAGAGAAAGAAACAGCGGATCCAGAGGTCATTCTTAACTCTAAGAAATTCAGGTCTGTTGAATCACATGAAAATATAAATTATTTAACTTCACTAGCATAGAAATTACTTACCTGCATTGCATTAAAATACAGTCATCCCTTGGTTCTCATGAGGAATTTGTTCCAGGACTTCCTCTGAATACCAAATGCTTGCATTCTCAAGCCTCTTACAAAAAGTGGCATAATATTTGCATATAATTTAAGCACATTTCCCATATGCTTCCAATCATCTCTAGGTTATTTATAATACCTAATACACTGTGTAAATAGCTGTTATACCCTATTGTTTAGGAGCTAATAATAAGAAAAATGTCCGTACATGTTCAGCACAGATGCAATTTTCTTTTTAATATTTTGATCCCCGGTTGATTGTATCCATGAATACAGAAAACAAATACACGAGGCTGGCTGTATAGTAATAGATAATAATTCCTGGAGTCTAAACTGTTGCTCACAAGATATACTAAAGATCACAGCATTATTTGAGCAGTCTTATTCAGAGAAATGTATTAGCTTTCTAGTTGCTGGGCATAATATCTGACACTCACAGTTTAAAGGAGAGGCTTAATTTATTTATTTATTTATTATTATTATTTTTGGTTTTTCTCCGGTACCGGGAACCGAACTCACAACCTTGGAGAGGCTTAATTTAGCTTATAGTTTCAGGACATTTGGTCCACGTTTGGCTGGATGCAAGGCCAAACCATCATGGCAGAAGGGCGTCCTGGGGCAAAGCCACTTCAGTAATGGCGGCTGGGAAGCAGCGTAGGGTAATAGCACCGAGGGAAAGGTGCCGGGGACGCCCGCACGACCCATCCAGACACGCCCAGAAATGTGCTCCACCAATCCCCTGGGTGGCTTCCAGGCTAATCAAGTTCACACAGTCAAGCGTAACAATCACAAAAATAAGGAAAAGTTTTATTTTTGTAAGTTGTGATTTTTATCAATGGTGTGATTAAGCACTTTTCAAAGGAAAACTCTAGGTGTCGACTCTTTAAAGCAGACGTATAACTCTATTGTTTTATATGATTCAGTTAAGCAAATGTGACTCGCTTTCCTTTAGTTATGTCTTCATTTCTTCTCATTTTCTTTCCTGAAAGAAGACAATAGGTAATTGTTACACTTCATGAACACAACAAAAATCTGACCCACCTCACCTGTCCACCGTGGAAAGGAAAATAGACTGGGTTTTACAGGAAAAGATTTTGCTCTTGTAAATTAAAGATTACTTCCCTCTCAACTCATTCCTCCTTTCAAAAGTGCTATTATTTTCCTTCTTATACGCTATATCTATATCATTCATGTGCTCTTTTTTTGTCTTATCTTTATATAACAGAACACTCCATTTCATTATATTTAGTTCTAAAATTACTTTGAAAGAAATAAACCCCCTGTTCTCAATAACTGCCATAAGAGGATTACTTTAAGTGTTAAAGTATTTTTTGCTTTCCAGTTCTAGGATTGAACACAGGACTTCACACATGCTACCCATGTGCTTTACCACTGGCTATACCCCCACCCAAAGTATTTTTAACTGGACTACCATAGGTGATGAAAGTCTATTTGAAAGTCCTTATGCCTAACCGTGGCACCTGGACAAATGAGGGGAGAAAGCTTGCATCCAGAGACATGTGTCACCTTCAGTGACCCGGTGACTTTGCTACAGTGCTTTGCTATCACACCAGACAGGAAAATCAGTATTCTCAGCTCTATTCAAGAGGGGAGCTGAATAAGAGTAGGGAGGCCAGATATCTTAAAATGACTAAGAGTTTTCTTCTATATAGAAAGGATTGTTAATAATTTCCAAACGGGGCTGGGGATTTAGCTCAGCGGCAAAGTGCCTGCCTGGCAAGCGCAAGGTTGAGTTCGGTTCCCGGTACTGGAGAAAAACAAAAAAGCAAACAAACAAAAATAATAATTTCCAAATGAAGGAGAAAGGGGAAAAATTATTATAGAAATCTATTTTGCTATAGCTTATTAAACAGAACTTATGTGAAACTATAAATTTTGAAAAACCACATTTTTAAAAAGACTGCATTTCTGTCAGTGATCCATTTTATTAATTTCTCTATAACTTACCGAACTACATAAAGTATATATAGCCTAAGTACTTACCCTTCTTACTTCATCTCTACCACATATTCAAACTAATGCATTCTCTAAGCCTAACCATTAGAAAAGAAGTTTACTGATATTAAAAAATCATTGAGGCCAAGAGAAAAATAACCATAGCTCATACTATTTTTTTTCTAATTTTCCCCTTCGTGTTGTATTTGGTAATAGATACAACCCTTTTCTTATATGCTTTCTGGTCATACTGCTAGGTCATAGGAATATATGGGCTTAGAGAGTTGTAGCCAAAGTACCGTTATACTGATCCCGCTATCAGAGGATTTGATGGCAGAATAAAATGAGATGTGGTTGCACTGATGACACAGAAAACCTGTATCTACTGCACATGAAGCGTTTTGTCTTCAGGTTTGTATTATCTGCAATCTCCTTTACCTGGAAATCTTTTCTTTTACTAGAAAGTTTAAACAGCTAAGACTTCCTCTTTACCTTTTTCCTATATCTGCAATAATTAATCACTACAAACTTAGCAGCTTATGATGCTACAGAGCTTTGCTATCGCACCAGATAGGAAAATCAATATTCGTAGTTCTATTCAAGAGGGGAGTTGAATAAAAGTGAATGATTCTTTTATAATTCTTTACTTCAGGAGTCCCAGATTATGTTTCGTGGGGCTAAAATCCAGGTGACAGAGGACTGGCTCCTCCTGAAGGGTGTAGGGAAGAATCTGCTTTCTGATGCTTCTGCTGCTCCAAGCTGCCTGCATCTCTTGGCTCCTGGGAACTTCCTCCTCAAATCATCCACTCTCCTGTTTCCCTGGTGGTGCATCCTTCTCCTGACTTTGGTCCTTCTTCCTCTCTCCTGTCAGGACCCTGTTGTTATGCTAAATCCACCCGGATAATCCATATTAATCTCCTCAGCTCAAGATCTTTGTCTCCATCACATGTACAAATCTCTTTGCCATGAAAGCATCACATTCAGGGGTTTTGAGGATTAGCATATGGACATCTTTGGTGGTGGCAGTCGATAGGAATCTACCATATTCTTATCGCCTCATCTATTTTGTCCTTTTGCATATATTTCGTACATGTATTTATTTAACCATAAACTAGTAGAACAAACAATATAGCTTGGATCTGTTTTACAATCACCCAGTCTGTGTGACAACCCTAGGCTTTTCTTTTTACTCTCTCAGTGGATCAGGCTTGTACCAAGCTGGGCTCAAATTCTTGCTACAGAAATTTGACCCATTTAAACTGAAGATTGAAAATTTTTGAATGTCTGCATGAAATTCATGTAGGTTACCTAGAAACATCGAAGGAACAAAAATTTGAAGAGAACATATTTCATTAGGTTCCACCATTATAGGTGTTCCAAAAATGGGTCAGTAGGCATCAAAGGGTTACTACTCTCCCTCTTCCCTGGCGGCTGGGCTGTGGCCCCACCACCTTGTTGTTCAAAGGAGTTTTTTTATGTTTAACTTAGTTTCAGTTGCATTTACAGTCTTCCCTCATGCAATTTTCCTTTCTAAAAATTATCTTAAATTGACTGGGCCAGGTGTGGTTGTGCACGCCTGTAATCCTAGCACTTGGGAGGCTGAGGTAGGAGGATAGCTATGAGTTCAAGGCCAGCCCAAACTGTGTAGTGAAACCCTGCCTCAAAAAGATAAACAAAACAATTGATTGGAGCATGGGGGTTCTCATCATAATTATATATCATTAATTGTACATAAAAAATAAATGTCAGTATTAGAGCAAGTGTTTGTTAACCCAGGCTCTTAAACCCCACGTACAGCTAGGGCCTGTCCAATGATAAAAGCTTCCCTAGTAATGCTTGTGAGACTCTCATTGCTTTTTGATTAGCAAGGAATGATTTACGATTTCTGTAGGTATTGAGTTCACTTTTTAATTAGTACTACCAAATATAGATTTAATGCCAGCAAGCAGAATATTTGATCACCTGGAATGCTCTAACCTTTAGCCATGAAATACCTAGACATACACTCCACAGTTCTGTCACATTTGCCGCAAGTTAACTTTCCTAATGCAGAAGACTTTGGTATTCTTGCAGCTCTTCAGAAGACATTGCATTTGGAACCCATCCAGGTGCAAGTGAAGTCAGTGTTTCTGTTTAGACTCACTGGTGAGTAATACTTTACCCATAACCCTTCTGAACGCCTGCCATGTGCCAGCCTCTTTACGAGGTGCTGGGTACAAAGAAGAATAAGGCGACTGGCTCTGTACAATGCCTGGCAGTGGTGAGAGGCACTCAAGCAATGCTCTCTGAATTAATGACATAATCCCTGCCTCTATCCTGTGGGAAAAACCGACACCTAATTGGGGCATGTCACAGGCCCAGAACGGTGAATTCAAGCGAAGGTGGGTGTGGACAGGAACTGCTGGCATGTTTCAGATGCCTCCCTGAGTTCCTGACATGGTGTCAAGGACACACTGTCCTCTCCAGTGACACCCCCGGCTGTCAGAATCCTTATTCAGGCCTCTGATGCCAGGCCCTCCCAGGGAAGCTTGTGACACTGCGTTTGAACTCCTATTAATAGGCTCCGTCAGCTCCTCAGCAGATTGCATCTTCACATCAAACAGCCAGAATCCCCAACGACGACTTCCTGGCTCAGAGCCAAACCTCTAGCATCAAAGCCATGTTCCTTGCAAATCAGCTCCACGTGATGATAAATAAAGGCATCAGATTCCAAACCAATTATCCCCTGGTGAAAGGCATGTTCCTCAAGGGCACACTGGGCTTTATTTAAAAAACTGTAACATTGCTGGTGCTGGCCTTGAGAGGCCAACAACGGACGCAGCAAGCTGAAGAAGGGAGCAACCAGGAACGGGTTTAGAATCGCGTTCGGCTGTGCTACACCGATCTGGGGAAGCGCAGGAGAATGAGCGCTTTGGCACATTTTGAGTTTCTGCCTTGGTCATGCCCCAGAGGAGAAGCTTGCACTTCTGAACTCAGGTCTCAGGACTGTGTGATCTTAGGCAGACCATTCTCTAAGCCCCAACCTGTGTATTTGTGAAATAACAGATATTGAACCCTGACCTCACGTCTGTTCTACGCAAAGCCCAATAAGTGGTATCCGTTATGTTAATTAGAGCTACTAAC